ATCTTTTAAAAATGCTTACCTTAGTTTGTTATTATATATTATTTTGTGATCATGTTTTTATTTGTTATTTTATTTAGTACTTTTTATATAATATTTATTTTTTTTATTAATTTTAATACTTTTTAGTATTTGTTAATTTTTGTTATTTGAGTTTTTTTATTTGACAATTTAACTCAACTTTTTCTTCAATTTTTTTTCATTTAATAAGTTTATCTTTTTTTTTTTAACGATTTGTCTATTATTTATTTAATAAGTTTATCTAGTTTAATATTTTTGTTTTTATATTTATATTAATATCTATAATTTTGTTTTTAGCTTTTTTATTTACTAAATCTTTAGCTTAATATCTTAGAATTATTTTTACCTTATTTATTTCTTTTATTATTATTACTTTTTCTAATATTTTTTTCTATTTTCTAGCTACAGTTATTATTTTATTTTTACTTCTGTAATTTTAGCTATTATTTATTAATATAGCTTTCAAATTCTAATACTGATTTGCTACCTTTTGCTATTATTTCTCTTTATACTCTTTTGTTATTTTTCTAATTAACCTTATTATATTTTTTTATTCTACATAATTCTATCTAATTTAATTTATTTATATTAGATTTATAGTCTATAAAATTTTTGAATTTTCTATTGATTAATTTATAAACTTTTAGAAGTTGTATAGTTTTGTTTTAATATACAGTATATTTATTATGATATAACTTAGTTTATTCTATTTTTCTTATATGTTTTTCTAAGCTTGTTATTATTTTAATTTGTTTATATATAACTTATTTGTTTGTATATAACTTGTTTGTTTTGATATACAGTATATTTATTATTATATAATTTAGTTTATTTTATTTTTCTTATATGTTTTTCTAAGTTTATTCTTATTTTAATTTGTTTATATATAACTTATTTGTTTGTATATAACTTGTTTGTTTTGATATATAGTATATTTATTATTATGTAACTTAGTTTATTCTATTTTTCTTATATGTTTTTTTAAGCTTATTATTATTTTAATTTGTTTATATATAACTTATTTGTTTTTTTTTTTTTTCTACTTGAGTGATCTTGCCCTTTCCTTTATTATAGATTGTTTATCAAAAGATAACATATAGTATACTATTATATCTTGATATAACTATATACTGCTCTACAGATTTGGTCTAGACTAACTTAGCTGTATTAAATATGCCCAAGTTCGATCTATTGCAGAAGCTATTCATCTCCTAAAAGTAGTTCACTGTATGAACAGTATATCCTAGTTTTTGATCAACAATTGGTGATTTCTAGCTACTATTAAGATTCTAGGTCTCTTCTAATCTAATCTAAGACTAAACTAAAAGTTGTTAATACCTAGTTTCAAGATAGAAAAAAATAAAAAATTGTTACTGATAATAAAAAGTATAAAGCCACATACTATAAGAATATGAGTATAGTATAGAAAAACTTGCTAACAAGTAAAAAACTATACTAGCAATAAGTAAATAAAATAGAAATAAAACAAAAAAGATAAAAAAGAAAAAGTAATAAAATTTTCTTTTTGATGTAAAAAGAAAAAAAGAAAAAAAGAACCTAGAGTAGTTCTACCTAAAGGCAAGTCTAAAAGCAAGCACTACCTTTAAAAATTATATATACTAGTTGCTACCTATATATATATTTCTTTGATTAATAATTTCTAATATATCTACTTAGTACTAATCTAACTAAGCAAAGCTTTTACAAATTTCATATAGTATTTAGTCAACAGAAGTTGACTACAAAATATATACTATATGTATTTACAAGTTATTGTTGTTTAGTAGCATCCAATATGACTTTCCTAAAATAGATATAGTATGAATGTTGATCTTTTGACAAGAGTAAGCTAAATTCCTACTTTTTGTTATTGAGAAACAAAAAGAAACAATTCCAAATCCAAAAGTCTAGTTGTCAAGGGTATAGGGAATAGTTCTTCAAAAAAACTGAACTAAGAAAGTGGTAGTATACTTGACCTAGTACAAGTATAGTTAGAGTTCTTCTTTATTTCTTTTTTTCACTTTCAACATCTTTCTACTAAGCAAATTTAAAGTTGCTCTGCCAAAGTTGAATAGCAAAAAGCCTAGTACAACCTTGAAACTGACTTGTTGTAGTTCTTGCTTCTGACTTATCACAGTTTCGTAGTTTATTCTTATGTAGTTAGATACTTAAAGTTGCTTTACCAGATAGTAGTACAAGAAAAATATCTTTTTTGTTGTTCCATTAGTTTGGTTTAGATAATTGTCAGAAAGAGTTGTGATTGTATATATAACTTATTTGTTTGTATATAACTTGTTTGTTTTGTATAATAATTTTTAAAAATTCTGATATATTGTAATTCTTTTTTTTTATACAAATGCTATTAGCTGAAACTTTATTAGTATTAATAGTAAAAAATATTATATATTGTAAGAGTATAACAGGGATCTGCAATAATTTGAATATCAAATTGCAAAATTTATTTGGATAAAAAGTAAATATTTGAGCAAAATTTAGATAAAAAAATTAAATATTTGGAATAATTTGGAATAAAAATTAGTAAAAAAAAATATTATGAGCTAATTAAATAATGAAATTATTATATAACAGAATTTCTTATTTCAAAATTTATTATTATTTACAATTGAAATAAAGCATATTTAATATTTTTAAAGAATCTTCACTTAAATTGTGTCTATTATCTTCTAAAACATTATTGTAAACAGAAAAACTTCTTTTTACAGCACAAGAAGAAATAGGCAACCAAATATAAATTAAAGCTATCTTATTTAAAAGTAGAAGTAAAGTAGAAATTTTATCCCAAAATTCACCTAAATTATCAAAATCAATTTAAGCTAAATCTAAATTACAATATAAAGCCCATTCCCATAATAAAGCATCTGAAGAATTTTTTAATTCAGGAATTTGGGTTGAATAATTTTGAATATTATGACTACTAATAGTTAATTTTACAAATTGGGAATCAAAAACTTGTACAGCAAAAAAAAGAGAATAGGAAGGATGTTGCAAAAAATGATCATTAAAATTTGTATATGCTGTAGCAAAAGCCATTTGAAATATATTGTTAAAAAGGCTAGGATCTGATCCAAGTTTTGTAATACATAAATTTACTTCATTTTCAAAATTAGTATTAGTTTCTCCATTCTTTAAAAAAATTCAAGTTGTAAAATTCGATTTTTAATGTATAGAATTACAGGCTCATTTTCTTTTTGAAAAAAGTTTAGATCAGAAATAAATTTTTTAGCATAATACTAAATAAAAATTAAATAAATTCATACTCGCCTATTTTCATTACTATTATTAAAAATATCAACAATATTTTTGATTGTTTCAGATAATTCAATTTGAAGCTCCTCATTATAAAATTCCTGAATATAATCTAAATAATTATAAATATAAAATGCTGCTTTAAACCATGTATTCCAATGAGTTGCAACTGGTAATGGCATAAACTTTAGCAGGGGGTTTGATTGTTGATTTAGTTCATGTCGCATTAGGCAATTCATATAACAGGATCTACAAGCTTTGGAATACACAAATGTTTTTTTTATATTAGAAACTAGTACTTTAATGATATCGAAGTGAAAAATTGATATCTATGATTCACTAAAATAATAAATACAAATTTATTAATATTATATAATTTCAAAAATAATAATGATAAATAATTTTTGATATTACCTAATTAAATTGATAATGTGAGCAGGGCAAGTGTTATGTTTTAATTGTTGCATAATAGGGCTTAAAGCTTTACAGAAACATTTCTTCATATAGGAAGCTGAGTCAGTAGCTATTAATTTTGGAAGAGTAAAAGAAATGTTCCATTCAATTAAAAGCTGTAAAATAAGTCTACCAATCATAGAGTAATTTACTTGCTGCAAATAATCAACTGATACAAGTTTTGTTATTCCTTGATAAGAAAATAATGTATTGACTACACTACAGCCTCTAATATCCGTTGTTTCATCAATAATTATAGCAATATGTTTGTCATTGAATATGTGATATAAAGTTTCTAAATATTCATCAAAAATCTTTGGCAAATATGACTGACGTAAAGTATCAGCAAAAGGAATAAAATCACCTTCCTTACAATACATATTTAAAAATCCATGAAACTTATCAAGCTTCTCTTTTTTTTGCTATATAAGTTTTTGATTCCCAATTTGTAAAATTAACTATTAGTAACTGTAATATTTAAAATTATTCAACCCAAATTCCTGAATTAAAAAATCTTTTGGATGCTTTATTACAGGAATAGGCTTTATATTGTAATTTAGATTTAGCTTTAATTGATTTTGATAATTTAGGTGAATTTTGGGATAAAATTTCTACTTCATTTCCACTTTTAAATAAGATAGCTTCAATTTACATTTGGTTGCCTATTTCTTCTTTGCCATAGAAAGAAGTTTTTCTGTTTACAATAATGTTTTAGAAGATAATAGACATAATTTAAGTGAAGATTCTTTAAAAATGTTAAATATACTTTATTTCAATCACGAATAATAATAAATTTTGAAATAAGAAATTCTGTTACATGATAATTTCATTATTTAATTAGCTCATAATATTTTTTTTTACTAATTTTTACTCCAAATTATTCCAAATATTTAATTTTTTTATCCAAATTTTGCCCAAATATTTACTTTTTATCCAAATAAATTTTGCAATTTGATATCCAAATTATTGCGGGTCTCTGACTTATTTATTTATTCATTAAATAAATAATAATCAGTTTATATGACTCCTTTTCTTGTTCGGCTTCGTTAGTGTTGCGGCATCTGATTTTTTTTGCCCAAATCTAAGTACAATTGCATTTAAATTGAAGCTTTCCGAAAGTATGGTAAATATTAAAATATTACATAATTATAAGATCGAATTATTAAGTGTAGTTCTGCAATACTTAATTTACTTAAAGAATAATAAAGTCTGGAGTGACTTTCCTTAATGGGTCGCCGGATCTTTTTAGCACTTTTAGCGCGATGACACACGATTCTGGTTCTTTAGCTGGCGGTGAATTTATCAGTGTCGCAAATTTTATAACGTCTGTAGTCGCCGGTTCCATGGCAGTTGTAACGCCATTTCATTTTACAAAAGTTCCATTCCTCCGAGATATAGGAAATTGTGTGTAAGAAAAAAACGTAAAAAAAGATCGTTAGAGCCTGCGATGATAGAAAATGAATGCATTAACAAACCTGAAGAATTTGGTAAAGATATAATAATTGATATTAATAGTTTTTTGGGCTATGTGTTTATTATTGTTTTCATAGAAAATGTAGATGCTTATGATTATGATTCTTACGATGGGACAGGTCTTTTGTTACCAGAAGGCGAACGCAATCCTGATTATACTAATGGGACAATTACACAAATGTCATTGACATTGGCACCTCTTTTGTTGCCATATGATGACTTTGAAAGACCAATTTATTACTCTCCAAATTCAACTCGATCCACAAATGATGTAATAGATCAATCTAAGCATTTACATCACCAATATGGTACTACAAGACCTACGAAGGTACCAATTAATAGTAGGCCATCATTGTTAAGAGCAATAGAGTTATGATGTGAACGAATTAATATGTTACTGTTTTTGCATTCTAATTATTATTTTAACTGTTATAGATATTACTTGCGATAATTTTTTTTTACAATTTAATTTGTCTTAGTATCGAGATGTGGTTAATTCTCTAAAGTTGGATAGTAGTAATATGAGACCCTTGCGACAATTTAGACGAAGTAGAACAATGCCAATAAGTGAATAAAACAATTACAATTCATACAGAAGATGGTCCAATGGTCAAATGATGAAGAATCGTTGGCTAACTGTAGTTCAATTTTCTCGCACCCCTGTTCATCTCAATGGTTTTATTCAGTAAGCGTTATTTCTTTTGATTTAAGAACCTAATTATCGTATTTAACTAATATTATTATAAATTATTGAATTACAGGTGATGATTTACCTATTTTCATACTTTATGCGTTTATTACTGGTACCTCATTATCTATATTTTTCATTCTTACTACGAGCGATGATCAACCCCAAAGTTTTATTCAATGTTAAGCTTTATGAGATTTGGTGTAGCGATTGTATGAATTTATCTCATAGCTAACGAAGTTGTTGATGTGTTACAGGTAGGCGCTGCGTCATAAAATAACATATAAACC